AATCATGCATGACTCTTATACTTCACCAACATCCAGATCTGGATAATATGATGATCAAAGAACCCTTAGAATCCATAAACTTTCTAACTTTATGGGTTTACTTCACTCAAGATTTCTTAAACATGAAGGAAAGGGAAAAAACATAGATCTATCCATAATATGCAATAAAGTTTGAACCTTTAGCACTTACAAAGGTCCAACAACAAGAAGAGATGATGATGGTGGTGCTACTTTGCAAACTCCACCACTATGACTCTTCTTTTCCTTTTCTTCTCTTCTTCTTCAAGCTACAAAATGCACCATAATGGCTATCCCTCCCATTCCTTTAGATACCAAAAAATAAGGATTTTAGTCATTAGACCACTCTCACCTTGTGAGCAAGAAGGGATCACGTCGTGAGACTCAAGGAATACAAGTCAACAAGTCAACCTTGGTTCATGTCGTGAGAGGCATTTCTCACATCGTGACTTCTTCCAAAGGCTAGAAAAGGATTCTTGAAATCATATACCTTAAAAACTTGAATCTCACAACTACCATCATGCACCACTGATGGCTTTGAGCAATCTAACAACCTTAAGGTGAACAGATAACCCTAAATGCTTTGGATATATGTTTTCTCTAATTATACAAGCAATTTTATTTTCCAAAGCATTATCCTAACTAGCATAAAAAACATGGGTACTTGTATAACAAAAACTAGTTAGATGACAAACCTTTTATAGTAGCTTGATACCTTAGACCTTTAAGATCCTAGCACCCCATATGTGATTTCTCAAATGCTTCACAAAACACCACCAACAATGGAGGACATGGGAGAGAATAACTAACACACAAAATCAGCTATGCTCTTCCAAAGATCACTAGTGCCGATTTTAGGAGCTTAGGAACTTCTTATATAGTGTGAAAAAGTCTAGGGTTACATCCATGTAAACCCTAATGGACATGACCTTTCATATTACTTACGATCCATGGGTTAAACCTCCATGGATCGCGACACCGATAAAGAGCTATGATGGCAAACGGTGAAAGCCTCTGGAATTTCAAGTCGGAGATGGAGTGCTATTGAAGGTCTCTCCCTGAAAGGGAATGATCTAATTTGGGAAGCGGGGAAAACTAAATCCATGATATATTGTACCATCGAGATTCTTGCCCGGATTGGTCCAGTGGCTCATAAACTGCAGCTACCTGCGGAGCTCAACAACATACACCACGTGTTCCACGTGTCGAATCTAAAAAAGTGTTTATCAGATGAAACCCTCGTTGTCGGCTTGGATGAAATCGAGGTGAACGAGAATCTCCTGTTCATAAAAGAACCAATCGTAATCATGGACAGAGAGGTGAAACGTATGAAACAAAGTCGCATTCTGATTGTGAAGGTTTGATGGAACGCAAAGTGCGAACCAGAATTCACGTGGGAACGCAACGACCAAATGATGCAAAAGTACCATCACATTTTCTCTAGCTCTTAAGATCAACTTTCAAAAGAATTTTGGGGCGAAATTCCCTCTAACGAGGGGATGATGTCACAACTAGCATGTCAGGGCTACTAAATCCTATCCATGTGTATTTAACTTATGGCATACATTGTAACCCTAATGTTGATACAATGCAAGATATTCATTCAACAACGACAATTCGAATCAAAACTCACTTGTGACACTTTAAACCTAATTTGATACATTTCATACACTCAACTTTGGGTTTGTAACCCTAACTTCCTGGTTCAAACTTGTTATAGGGCCAAGAATACATATTTGCGACCTAGTTGGACCCACATTCACTTAGTAACAGATTTTTGGTCCATAAAATTCCTCATGGGTTTATTGGGCCGAAAACCATCCATTTGTTTTCATTGGTCCAAAAACCCATCTCTCTTACATCTTTTGGGCCGTAAGCCCCTAATGGACCCAATGGGTCGAAAAAAATTCAATGTCGGACTATATAAATTCGATTAGTAATAAAAAAATAAGCCCAACACCAAAAAAAATTTCTCCCTCTCCGATTCTCAGGCCATATATATTAAAAAAAGAAAAAAAAAAGTGAATTAACATGAATTAGTGACACCTCACTTTTACTTAATGGTAGTCCGAGCTATTTGTATCACATATATCTAAGTCCAAGACCTATAATCCTCCATGTAATAACCAATTACTTCTTCCCTCTCTTCCTCTTCTTAATCTCGGGCATAAAAGCTCTCACCACCACCTTCATTTTTTCACATAATTCAAACTCCAATGTCTCTCTAAAGCTATAAGGAACTCACTAATTCATTTTTCGGTCATAAAAGCTCTCACCACCACCTTCATTTGTGTGTGCTTATGTGTGTGTTCAAGGATACTTTATCAAATATCATTCATTTTTGGCAAGCTACATTTATTTAAGAAGTTAACTTTATTTTTTAATAAACTTATCACTCATAAACACTCCATTTCGTGATTCTTGCTTCATAGAACACCTAACTTCGAAGACGCCTCTCCTTTCTTCATTAAAACTAAATCCAACACTCAAGGTGAGTTCATACCCCCTTGTTTTCGGTTTTTACTAATTTTTAGGTGAGAATACAAGTTGCTTTTGTGTTATATCTAAGTATTTATGCATGTTTGTGTGTGTATTCATGTTATATGTTATGATTATGTTATGAAAACATATTAAAACTTCATAAAACTCGAGATATCTACTAAAACTTGGTGATGTTTGTAAACTAAACCACTTTATGTAACTTACTATGAAGTTGAAAGGATTAAACATGTTAAGAAATACTTGAAAACTAAATAAAACCAACAAAAAGTGAAGCCTTTATGTTAAATTATGGTGTTGAGAGGACCAAAAGAGTCTTTTTTAGATAAAAATGGATCTTTATGATATTCACGGTTTTAAAGGGTCCTAAAGTGTTAATTTTCACAAAATGGGTTTCTATTGGGGCCATCATGGTTTTAACGGGCTAAAATGGTCAATTTTATAAAAATGGACCTTAATTAGATAATCATGGTTTTCATGGGACTAAAATGTAAATTTTGGCCTTTATGGACTTAAAATGTCATTTCCATTAAATATAGGCCAAAAATGTCATTTCCAGTATATTTAGGCCGAAAATGTTGATTTTAACAAAAATGGGCTAAAATGTCACTTTATTCAAAATGGGCCCTTAAATCTAAACTTTCGGTCTTAATAGGCCTAAAGTGTCATTTTTATCAAAAATGGACTTATAATGTAAATTCTCGGTTTATTGGGCTGAGAATGTCAATTTCAATAAAAGTGGACCTTTTATGCCATTTGATATTAATTAAGCTAAACAATGCATTATAATAACGAATGGTTTAACTACGTCATTTACACTCCTTATTGGGCATTGTGTTCTCATTACATGTTATTAGGGCCTTATAGGCCCTTTGATTTTCTTATTGGGGCTCACGTCACATTTTATGTTAATCGGGCCAATAACAAACAATACTTGACGCTTTGATAAAAACAAATGGTATTTTCATCACCAATGTTTTGTGATCAAATGCATACTCGAACACATTGTTTTGAATCGATAACAATTTGATGCACTGTTTGCGTAAATTTAGTTAAGGTTCTTGTGAGACGTTCTTTCATTTGTACCTACCTAGTGTACAACCTTAAGCCTTGTAGTTATAACCAGAGTCTCGCGGAGGGAGAGCGAGATTTTATGTATAGATCTATACGGGGTCGACAACCCCGCACCTGAGCTATTCTCTATAGTTAGACTAGGCCAGTCTAGGGTGACAAATGTCTTACCTTAAACAAGTCGACGCCTAAAAAACATCATGACAGGCAGATCAGTCATATCAATCATGGTTATAACGACTCACATAGAGATTAACAAACACTATACAAATTTACGGAATACATATACGATACTTTTGATACACGTGCGAGCTATTCATTTCTACGACACTCGGGTCTTGTGATTTAAAGACTACAACTCTTTTACAAGACAGAAAACATCGGATTTTCTTGGAAACAAACACTCTACATTACATTTTACTTGCAATAGAAAATATAGAATTTTCTGTAATACTCTCTTTATACATTTTCAAAACAGAAACACACATACTTTAATACAAGATTTAACACAAATCTTTCAAACCATTTTACAGAAAATATCGGATTTTTTGGCGTTTACAAAGTGATACAAAACTTTTCATACATACATCCTTATGAACTCACCAACATTATATATGTTTCCGTTTTCAAAATAGCTTGTATTCTCATGGACACGATAAGCAGGTTGGACTTCAAGAACTTGTGGAATTTATCGTATCTTGTTTCTATCATGCACTTATTATTTTTAAGATGTAACTTTTGTAAACAATTACAATGATGTAAACCTAGTATGTTGTACTATTGTATGTGGGATGATGATGTTGTCTTGATTCAGTTATATACACAATGACGATATTACAAGATGAAGTCTTCCAACCCCGGACGTTTCCGACGTTCTGGTTTGGGGTGTGACAGATTGGTATCAGAGCAATGTTTATAGTGAACTGGCATATCTAAGCATACAAGATATGCAACTATAAATACATTGGGACTAAACTACTACGAACAAAAATAAAATACATACCTATGTGTGCATTTTCGAGTACCATCACGATAAGAAACAATAGAAGTCTTTGGAGGAATTGAATATCGTGGTTAAACCCGAACAGTTATGTATTCATATTGGGGGTAAATATAGTCTCATCAACTATATTTATTCAAAATACGACCAACATGTGTTTGGGAGTGATCATGGTGGGCAATGAATCTTGAAACTTACCAACATCGTATCCAAAAAGTATTAAGAAACTCAAACGTAAACAATTAAAACACTATAGGAGCATTTTTGGGATACCATATAAACTCCGCACATGCACTATCTGCACACTTCTCACGCCTCCATATTTGCACAGGCACCATGGCTGAAATTCCACAAGGTGACCTCTACTACAAGACCTTCGTGGCCAATGGATGGATTAAAGGAGAACCTAGAAATGGTTCAAGAAGGAAATCCAGAAGCAAGACCGGAAGAGTATATGGAGCTGGATTATGAGGGTAGCGAGTCGGACGAGGAGTCAGAGGAAGGAGAAGACGTTAAGAAGACCCCGTATGAGCTCTACCCTTCGGAGATCACATCAGACCAGCACACAGTACAGAGGAGCACTACTCGCCCAATACGCTCTCTAACGGAGGAAGTAGCCAACGAAAAGCAACGAATCTTTGCGACTGAAGCTAGGGCAATTCGAGTAGAGAAAAAGGAGGATGAGATCACTCGTGAGATGAGTGAATTAACTGAGCTTCTAGTGCGTCAATTCGGCATCTGAGTGTCACCACCCCTATTGATAGGACTCTCTCTTTTCATGTACTGTTGTATGTAGAACCGACTCTATGATTAAGTGACTACACTACTCATAGAGCCGTTATGTTGACAGATTTATATTCCCTACGTACTGTACGCCTTCCAAGGCAAATTTTCACGCACAGTACTACAAAGTCTATCACTAATGAAATGGTTCTATGTTTTATTTATTACATTATTATCTGCTATGTGTTCTATTTTCCTTGTTTCATGATATTGTATGAATTCACTTATATGCACAATCGAACCACTGAAACCGCTATATGCCAAAGAAATTTGAAACCACAAACTACTATGTACTCACCATCTTTTTTTTCCATGATAGAAGATGCCTCAAAGACCGATATGCAGAAACAACACGACACCACCACCACCACTGCCTCCGCCAGAGGTAGACTCTGTTGCATTCCAAGTAGCAGTATTAGTTGCGGTCACCACAGCATTGGCACATATTCATAATGGAACCTACGGTGGTGGTAATGGTCAAGGAACTGGGAGCTCAAACCAAGGAATGAACCAAGGGACTACAAAAGTTTGCACCTACAAAGATTTCTCAAATGCCAAGCCTCGAACATTCAATAGAATTGGTGATGTGATAGCCTTGAAGCGTTGGATTGAAAAGACCTAATCTGTCTTTGAATTCTGTGAATGTTCGAATGAAAGCAAGGTGAAGTTCACAACCTACACATTTTTTGACCAAGCCCTATCCTGGTGGAATGGTCATGTGAAGGCCATGACTTTGCCAACCGCAAATGTTATGCATTGGGGAGAACCTAAAGAGATGCTGATGGCAGAATATTGTCCCCGAGGGGAAGTACATAAATTAGAACAAGTGTTATGGAACCTCACAGTGCAAAACTCAGACATCGAGGCATACTTCTCAAAATTCAGTTTACTAGCCCTTTTGTGTCTGGGTATGATCACTTCTTAGGGAAAAGATGATTGAGCAGTTCATTTGGGGATTAATGCCTCCAATCCAAGGAAATGTGATTGTAGTAAACCCTAAGACTTTTGACAGTGCAAAGAGGCTAGCTCAGAAGCTTTACGATCATGGCAACAAAAAGAGTACCAAAACTGCTGAGACTGAGACCAAGAAGGAAGGGAATAACAAGAAAATTGGGTAAAACAAACGAAAGGGGCGATAAAAACATGGATCCTATAAAAAGAAGCAAACTGTAGCACTCCACGCTACTACCGCCCAAGTTGCACCAGCACCGACTACTCCAACCTCATCTGCACAAACTACTAACAGTCCATACTCAGGAACCCGAGAAAAATGTAACAAAGGCAACTACCACCACAATGTCGAGTGCAGAGAAATGTAGTGTACCAACAGCAACCGATAGGGGCACACCGCCCGGTAATGCAGATCTCAACCCCAACAGCAACAACAGCCCAACAACAAGAACAACGTCAGGGCCAGTTATACTTGTTATGGACGTGGATGGACTAGCCACTTTAGGCGAAACTTCCCCAACTCCAACAACCAAGGAGCAGAAGGATCAGGCAGGGTCCTCACATTGGGTCAAGGAGAGGAAGTTCAAGACCCGACGATTGTTACTGATACTTTTCCCCTCAACAACACTTACGCATGCATCCTATTTGATAGTGGGGTTGAGCGGAGTTTCGTGAGTAATAAATTTAGACACTTACTAAACCAAAAACCCTAGAAACTAATTGAAGCCTTCGCGATGGGGATGGCTAATGGGAAAACCGAAACAACCAAAGACATTTACGTAGGATGCACGTTAACATTAAACAACCACTCATTTCAAATAGATTTGATGCCAGTTAATATTAGGAGTTTTGATGTGATAATCGGCATGGATTGGTTAAACCCCCACCATGCCAACATTATGTGCCATGAGAAAGCCGTTCGCCTCACCTCCCCAACCATGAAACCCTAATAATCTACGGTGATAAACCTAACGCCAATCTCCATCTTATTTCATGCATCGAAGCAAAAGAATGCTTGCACAAGAAAAATTATGCTTTCCTCGCCTACGTGGTGGATAAAGAAAAAGAGAAAATAAACATCAAATATATCTCAGTGGCATGTGACTTTCCAGACGTATTTCCTAAAGATCTTTCGGGAATACCCCCAGAAAGACAGGTCGAATTTCGAATTGACCTAATACCTGGAGCCACATCAATTGCCAAATCACCCTACAGGTTAGCTCCCACCGAAATGCAGGAGTTATCAAGTCAATTAAGCCAACTCTTAGACAAAGGATTCATCAGGCCAATCTTCTCACCTTGGGGATCCCCGATCTTGTTTCTCAAGAAGAAGGACGGATCCTTCAGAATGTGCATCAACTATCGGGAGTTGAACAAACTAACCGTCAAAAATCGATATCCACTCCCTCGGATTGAAGATCTATTTGACCAGCTTCAAGGAGCCAGTTATTTTTCTAAAATAGATCTAAGGTTCGGTTATCATCAGCTACGAGTTCGAGAAGAAGATATCCCCAAAACTACTTTCCGAACCCGATATGGCCATTACGAATTCGTTGTTATGCCTTTCGGTCTGAAAAATGCTCCCATGGCATTTATGGATCTCATGAATCGAGTCTGCCACCCATTCCATGATAATTTTGTAATCGTGTTCATTGATGACATACTAATATACTCTCAAAGTAAGGAGGAGCACGGTCAGCATCTACACCAGATATTGGAAACTCTTAGAGCTGGAAAGTTATATGAAAAACTCTTCAAGTGCGAGTTCTAGATTCGCAGTGTGAATTTCTTAGTTCATGTAGTCAGTGAGGAAGGAATTCATGTGGATCCTTCCAAGATCAAAGCTATTGAAGGCTGGGTGATTTCAAAAACACCAACGGAGATCCGCCAATTCTTTGGCCTTGCAGGCTGCTACCGAAGGTTTATTCATAACTTCTCCAAGATAGTCAAGCCCCTCACCACTCTAACCCAGAAAGGCGTACCTTTCAACTGGAGTTTTAAACAAAAAACTGATTTTCAAACCCTAAAGCGAGCACCTTGCAGTGCTTCGGTACTATCTCTGCTAGAGTGAACAGATGATTTTGTGGTGTATTGTGACGCTTCAAATCAAGGGTTAGGTTGTGTCCTGATGCAATGTGGAAAAGTAATAGCATATGAATACAGACAATTGAAAACCCACAAAGTAAAATATACCACCCATGATCTCGAACTGGGATTTGTGGTCTTCACACTAAAAATTTGGAGGCACTACCTTTATGGTACGAAGTGCACCATTTTCACAGACCACAAAAGCTCCAACATATTCTGAACCAAAAAGAATTAAACATGAGGCAGCGGCGAAGGCTTGAGCTGCTAAACGACTATGAATGCGAGATCAAGTACCATCCAGGCAAGGCTAACATGGTGGCCGACGCCTTAAGCAGAAAAGAATACTCGCGGACCTTCGGGGGTATTCTTGTCACTAAGGATCAGAATCTCTTTAGTAAAAAACTGGTGATTTCTTCTAATTGGTTTGTAACAGTGGAGAGGGTTTAGTTATCTTCTTAAGTAAAGGTAGTGTTTGTTTCATTTTATGCTCCGCAAGGGAATGAATGTAAAAGACAACTTTGGGGAGTCGATGACTTCTTGTTCTGGGGAGTGCATTTTGATTGGAGATTTTAATGAAGTTCGAGATGAGTCGGAACGTTTGGGGTCTCAATTTCATCCTACTTCTGCTAGGATTTTTAATTAGTTTCTTGAGGAGGTGAATTTGTTTGATATTGCTTTGGGTGGTCATCGCTTTACTTGGAGTGATAAGTGGGGTTCTAAGTTTAGCAAATTGGATTGTTTTCTGGTTTTTGAGGATATTTTTTCTGTTTTCCTCATCTTTCAGGGTTGGTTTTGGAGAAAACAAAATTCGGATCATCGGCTTATTCTTTTGTTGGAACACTCTTTTGATTTTGGCCCTTAGCCTTTTCGGTTCTTTCATTCTTTGTTTAACTGGGACGATCTTAATGAAGTGGTTCATAATTCTTGGTCTACATCTTTCGATTGTGAGGGCATTCTTAACCTCTGGGTTATTTTTAAGAAGAAACTCCAACATATTAAATATAATATTTGGGTTTGGTACTCTTGTATTCGGGTTGGTATGGATGGTAAAAAAAATTGTTACAAGATAAGATTGAATCGACTGATTCTATTCTTATGGCGGGTGATGGTAGTGCTAACTTTCGAGAACAGAAAGTTTTGATTTTGAAGGAGTTGAGTGATTTATATCACCTCTCGAGAGTGGACCTAGCTCAGAAGGCGAAAGTTCAGTGGGGTATTAAGGGGGAAGAGAACTCAGGGTTTTTTTCACGGATCTATAAATAGAAAAAGTTGCCACTTAGCAATCAATGGAGTTATGGTTGATGGTGTTTGGATTGACAAACCGAGGAGCGTCAAAAGTCAATTTCATAAATTTCACAAAACTCACTTTTCTAAGAAGAGAGGGACTCCTCCTTCCATAGACCATGCTCTTTTTCATACCCATTTAGAGGAACTGGTTCAGTTCCTCCAGGCTCTTATTTCTCATGAGGAGATTAAAAGGTCAATTTAGGGTTGTGACTCTGATAAGGCTCCTGGTCCAGATGGTTTCTCCTTTGGTTTCGTTAAGCGTTATCAGGATCTTATTTCTTTGGATGTGGAGGCGTTTTTTCAACATTTTCATTCTCATTCATCTATCCTTAAGGGTTGTAATGCTTCCTTTTTCTCTGTCATCCCTAAGGTGCAGGACCCAAAGGTCATTAGAGATTTTAAACCTATTAGTCTTATTGGTTGCCAATATAAAATTATTGGTAAGCTGTTAGCTAATAGGTTAGCGGAGGTTATTGGTTCTGTAGTTAGTTTGGAGCATTACAAATTTTGGATAGCCCATTTTCTATTGAATGAGGTGGTTTCTTGGAGTAAGGCTTTGAAAAATCCTCTTATGATTTTTAAATTGGATTTTGAGAAGGCATATGATTCTTTGTCTTGGGAGTATCTTTTGGA